GACTCCCTATAAATGGCTCCTGGATTGGACAATTTAAGGGACGGTCTCATTTTCATATTTGTGTCTGCTGTTGTAATTCTCCTGGATGTTATATTGTCACATCATTTACATGTGGAATCCTTTGCTTCGGAAATTTAAATTCATCAGTGGTGCTTCTTGTTGCTGCTATAGGTTATATGATGAATTAACCAGAGTTTACATTGGATTTTTGTATGATGGTTCTAATAATGATTTATAAATTGATAAGAATTATGGACTGTAGAAAAAATTTCAGTGACTGACCAAGAAGAATATCAAGCTGATGAAGAATATCAAGTTGAAGTGTATGGTCTCAATACAGGGTTTGAGAAAGATTGATGATGTAAAACTGCCTGGTATATAGGAATATGAATTTCAGCTGGCATTTGTGGATGAATCTCTCAATTGGATGGCAGGTAATTCTCTTGGAAGTGGATCTTCATTTAAGTATTTCGAAAGTTGGAATTGCCATATTATGAGTGCCATGAATATGAAGATGTTCCTCATCTCATGGTCTAGAAGGGGTTGTCTTGCTCCCTTTGATCTTCACGATTGCGATGAGGGGATGGACATTTGGAGTGTGGGTAATGAAAGAGTTTGGAGTTGTGAAAACATGGCCAAACGAGTATAATGTGGATACTAAAAAGGAAATTTGGTTGACAAGCTTTACCAAGAACAATGAGATTATGATTTAATAGAGCGAGGACCAAAAAATTGTATATAACTTCGAGAAGAATCAAAGTAGATATTTAAGCTTACGTGAATTCTTTGGTTAGCCCTTGTTTGTTTGGTATTAAATCTCAATTGTAGACAAATTCTAACCGTAAGTAGCCTACCATTTTTGACCTCACTGCGTGGGATCCACTATTTGAAAATAACGGTTGAATTTCTCATTTTCTCAGGAGAATAATGCACAACAAACAAACTCTCAGTTACATTGGAAGTTTGGTTTTGCTTGATGAGAAAAATGAATTATAGGAAAATTGAAGTTCGGTGGAATGACGTCTTGATGAAATTCTGTGTGTACATAATTTTGATTAATCTTCTAAGAATGGCTTCTGTCTGTTATTGTTTAAAGACTTCGACAAAACTAAATATAAGTCTCTTAGAAGGCTATTCATCTAAAAAGAAGAGAATGTTCACTAGAAGAATTATTTGTACTAGTGGCAGAATGTAACAGATTACAGTAATAGCATTTTTCACAAGCCTCTACAGTTATATACTATTTACAGAGCCTCTACAGAGCTTTCAACTGGTTTAACTATTTAAGAACCTCTTTCTATACGTGATTTTGGACCTGTTGAGTTAAGAGAGACGTGTTTGTTTATCTAAATTTAATCTTCAACAGCATCTCATTGCGGTGTTTCATCGTAATTCTAAGACGAACACCATCTTCATAAATTATCGGTGTTTTTTTTCTGCTTGATATCACTTTCATTTTTGTCTACCCAACGGTGTTTCGAGTTCAACTGTCATTTGAGTTTCTAGGGGCGCCGGGGGAGGGTGATTATTAAGGTCTTGTTTGGTAGGAATTAAAATCTTGATTTTAATATAAGTTAAAATCAACTATTAACTTTAACCACGTATCCTCATGGGATCTATAATTTTTCGACTACACATTTCATCATTTTTTATCAAAATCGACTAAAAAACTGATTTTAATCCCTACCGAACACGGGCCAGGTGAAAGTTTTGAAAAATACATAGTGGTGCCTCTAATGCTAAAAAAATTGCAATTTGGAGATCCAATTACAAGAAAATTAATTTCGGTCGCCAATGCACTTTCGAAAAAGTTATCAACCGCGCTCTTGATGTTCAGCACATTTTTGTCCTCAATCAAACAACCGATGCTAGCTCTTATCGAGTCACTTCCGTTGATAATTTAATTTATTCAACTCAATGCCAAGCTTGGAGTCGTTCCTCCTTCTCCTTCACTTGCGAGGACATGTTAGGTGTGTAATGCAAATTAGTGTTACTAATGTTAGGATTATTAATGTTGCATAATGTCCCAATTGAGAAGGGAGGAAAATGTATTATTATTATTATGGATAGTGTTGGTTTTTCAGGTAGAGAGGTGCTAAGATTCGTTACTCAAGACATGACACTTGTGATACTAATAAAATGAAAAGTTTTATTATTTGACATGATCGCTCAGATTATTTTAGATCAATAATGATGTAAATTTTTTTAAGAATTCGAATGGGACATTCATTGAAGAACCGAAAGATTTTACTATCTCATTTACATGTTCTCATGGAAAATTGATCATTAAATTCACAACTTTTCAACCATAAATTTCATCAACTTTTATCAAAATCTACTAAAAATTTAGCCCATGTTTGGTGATGATTACAATTAAATTTTTAGTAAATTTTGATAAAAGATGATGAAATGTGTGATTGAAAAGTTGTGGATCCTATGAAATATATAATTAAAATTAATTGTTGATTTTAACTTAGATTAAAATTTAGATTTCATTCCTTACAAAACATGAGTTTAATTTTAAGGACTATGCTAAACGTACTAAGGAAAAGGGGGGTGGGTGGTTTACAGGCAAGACACATAGGGGGGAGGGGGTGGGTTTTTTTTTCTTTTTTAAAACATGTGGGGCCCGTCGGTTGTGAGAGGACTGGCGGCCCCTGTGAAACCCCCACCTGTACGTGTGGGTTTTTCCTAATTTTAATCCCCACCAATCTGTGGGTAAATTCCAAACTTTTAGTATTGGGTTTCCTCCCCATTGACATCCATGTAGACATGGCCTACCGTAGGAAGCATAGCACTAAGTGGTTGCACCGAGTCCCGGCCCCATTTTTCCTATCAAAATGTATTCTTAAACAGTTATTTGACATCATTTTAATCACGTATTCTTCAATAAAATAATATTGTACGTGAACCCAAAATTTTTCCTTATTTTTTAACAATACATTCTCCATCATAACACTATTACAAATTGCATTTTTTGAAAAAAAAAAAATGTTTATTATTTTAAGCAGAAAGGTTACTGGCCCTTGAACCATCACTTCTCGTGATGTTCCAACAAAACCTAATAAATAAAAGATAATTAGCTACGAGTTTGAACTAATTTCTTCGTGTTTCATCATCGTAATTCGTAACCAACTATGGTCATACTCGAGTAATCCAAACTGTCCTTTTACTGTGAAATGCTTATAACTAACTTGCAATAATATTCGAACAATTACCTTTTACATATTTAAAATGCAAATTGGAGAGCTTGTAACTTACGCCCTTTAGGAAATAAAATGTGGCATTAAACGTTTATATCTCTTTTAGTTCCAGGCTTTAAAGAGTCATCAAATTCTGAAAAGAATGAATGGTAATTTTATGGACTCTTGTTCATTTCTAATTTGGCTGTTCATTGAATCATCACTAATTATGTTGGGATCTTGTGGTCGCAAAACAAAAAAGAAACCAATGGGAGCAATACAAGCGAAGCCATGGACCCATGTTCCCCAAAGATAAAAAGGCACATAAATATTTCAACCTCAAGAGGGTTTGCACTTCTTTCATTATGACTAGAATTAGACAATTAAGGTTAGTCATTGTGTCATATCGTATGATCAACTATTCAAAACATGAATATTCTTCGTTTACCTTGAGCCTTCAGAACATTCCAGAACTCTTGACTAATGGGAATGTCTGAAGTAAAAAATGATCCAACTTCGAGGGAAACACGAGGAATAAAGCAACAAGAGCCACATCCTACATTAGAAAACAAGGAAACAATGTCACCAAGTACAACGGTATCCAGAACAAACTGAAAACTTGATTCGAGACTTTGCACCACCTGGAGGGTCACTTTCCACCATGTCAATACAGAGGTCACGATCTTTTGCAAAAATCAGCCCCTCTCATATTTTGATGGATTCAGCACTCCATTGTAAATAATCTCTGTTATATTAGATTTCGCAGCTAGTACTACTCCATTTCATCCCTAATGACAGTCCCCAAGTAATGAAACCCTCCTCTCGCCTTATTGCAACATCAGTATTCAACTTGAGCATCCACTATAAGGAGTCGCCTACTCGGTCACCCCTACCCCTCCTTCGGCAAGTCATGATTCCACCCCTCCAGCCCGTCTACAATATCCACTAGCACCTCTGGTTCCCTAGCCACCTATCCACGAGCCACTATATTTCTGTCCCCCAGATCACCCACATTGTGAAAACTCCCTTGCTGTGCAAAGCTTAGAGAAAACAACCAAGACATCCCGCTCATCCTGTGCTTCACAGTAATTTTTTTTATAACTAATCGCCACCACGCCAACGACCTCCAAACTTTCTTAGCCGATTCGCACAAGAACAAAGCATGTATAGTCAACTCCAATATTCACAATTTCCTTGCTCCCCACTCGTTTGGATCCCCCATTGGCACCACCTTCCACCAGCCATCTGGGCCCAATGCACTTGCCCCCTCCTCATTCCTCCCCCCAGTGAGATGTAATACTTACTGTTGTACTTCTAAATGAGAGTAGAATCAAAAATAGATGACCAGTGGCTTATCTCTTGTGCATTCATTCTTACAAGAGCAAAACTACAGATTTTTAAAGCATGCATTTTGCTTCCCCTCGCTTGTGCTAGATTCTTCAATTTTTTTGATATTTTATGAACAAGAATAAATACTTGTTCAATATGCTGTTAAGAAGTTGAAACCTTAAGAAAAAAAAAGTAGTCGTCGGAATGAATCGTTTGTGTCACTGCTTCCTGTTCATTGCTTTATCAACACAGAATGATGTGAAGCAACTCAGTGTTTGTGCGAGGAAAAATCGAAAAGTTACATATTTTTACGAAATCATTGGTGCATGGTACAAAATAGACTGACTGTATTTTACTATTTAATTCTATGGATAACACAAGTTTATTGATCAGACAAAAGAATTGGGGACAATGCTTGTAGACATGAGCTGGTAGGATAAGCTAATTTTAGCTGAACAACTGAATCAGGGATAACAATCGGTGAATCTATTATCTGCCATTGCCTAATGATCTGGAGTTCTGAAGATCATCTGAAGGATCCCAATCCAAGGAGGATGAGAGGAGCTTTGAAAGAACCATGAAAACATCAGCTACCGCAGGACGTGAGTTGAGATCATGAGCTACACAATTCTTAGCAAGTTGAGCCATGGAGTATGCCAACTCTATTGGATACCCTTTCCCGAGTCGAGGATCCATGAACCATTGTAGTTTCTCTCTAGCATTCTCCCCATCGAGTACCTCATTTATGTATGTAGACAACAATTCCCCTTCTTTGTTGCTGCCTTTAGCAGCAATGGCTTCCTTTCCAGACATGAGCTCCAAAAGCACCACCCCAAATGAAAAGACGTCGAGTTTTGGAGTGATCAATCCAGTCTCAATGAATTCGGGAGCCATATACCCGTACGTGCCCACGACATGCCGGGTCATTACAGGTACGCTATGATCAGTGTCCGAACTCCTGGCCAAACCGAAATTGGCAACTTTAGCCCTCATGTTACTGTCCAGAAGGACGTTGCTGCTCTTCAAGTTCTTGTGGATATACGGCGGATTGGTGAAGTTGTGCAGGTAATTCAAGGCATCAACAATGTCGTAAGCAATTTGAACTCTCTGTTTCCAATCAAGAATCCCAGTTGAATTATAGGAATCTTCGTGCTGCATCTTATTGTTTTGTAGCCAATCACTGAGGGAACCTTTCTCTGCGTACTCATAAACAAGGTAGGTAATTCCCTGGTGAAAGCAGAAACCAGAAAGCCTAATGATGTGGGAATGATTAATTTGCCTGAGCACATCTATTTCACGCGATACATCTCCCTTCATTACCTTCACTGCAGCGTGGTCGCCCTTGAATGAACCCCGGTACACCGATCCATTGATTCTGTTGGCTTCTGCGAATGATCCAGTGGCCATTTGCAGGTCCTCGAATTTGTATACCGTTAGAGTTTCAATTGCATTTCGTATCCCTTCAGATGAGACCGACCACGACGCAGGTTGAGCCTCTACAGATTCGTAGTTAAGTTTCTTAATCAGGGGCGGTGGCGAAGATTGGTGCCTACGGGCACGGCGGTGGCGGAAGAACCACGCCGCGGAGAATAAGACTAGGAGTAAAACAGCAGCACCAATACCGCCCCCCACGACNACGGCGGTGGCGGAAGAACCAAGCCGCGGAGATTAAGACTAGGAGTAAAACAGCAGCACCAATTCCGACACCCACGAAAACCCACTTGCGGGAAGAGCCACCACTCTGGTCAGAGGGGATGGTGGGCAGCGCCGGTGGAGGCGGCGGCGGTGGGGGAAGGATATTGATATTTTCCTTGGTGGGTTCTTCTGTAAGCGGTACTAAAATTGGTGTAAAGAAAAAGATACGGTCGTTTTCTGATAGCTTGTTGGCATTGAGGATCCCCGGGACATCAGCACCCGCGCCGGAAAATGCATCGGCTATGTAACTGTATGTATTCCCCTGCCGAATAAGGTAAGTGAGCAGATACCTGAAGCCGGCGGCCGTCTGGTTTGAAGTGGGACAGGCACACCAAAGCGGAACACTGAGTCTCATATTCACCACCAAATCACGAAAATCGTAAGGATTATTAGCTTCCATGGCCTGGCAGGTGGTTAAAGCCTGGTAAGTATCATTCGCAACAATCAAATACGTCTCGCCTTGGGTCTGGATAGTGTACGACGCGTTATGCTGGTACCTTGAATCAGCGCCGGAGCAGGAACAATTGACGGGCACTACGACGAGTGTGTCAACAGGGAGCACACCCACATCGGTAATATTATTGATTCGCACAATTTCAGATGTATCGGCGGCGAGGAGGTTGGCGATGGTGATGGCGCTGTTGTAAGTAAGAGTTGATCGGAAAGTGAGGTAAGAGCGGCAGGAAGTGGCGGCGCCATTGCAAACATAGCCGAGAGTTGTGGTGTCCTTCTGCGGGCAGTTAAGCTGTCTGTTGTTGACATAGCTCTGTTGGCCCTGCAATTCAGGGAACTGAACAAGAAGAAGAAGCAACAAGAGTACAAATGAACACAAATAGGCCGCCATTTTTTAAGAATAAGCACTGCAATTTTTCAAGTATATACACACACAATCAGGCAGAAAAGATTGGGTTTTTTGATGTGATGGGGTAAAGAATTATTCAAATAGTTGACCAAGTAAAATGGTAAACTACATAGAAACATAATATGTTTGAATGGTGATTGGTCTGGAAATTGTGAGAGGAACGTAACAACATTGTCAAGATTTGTTGCGGTCAAATTTTCGAACAGGTTATCTTCATTGACTCGCATCTTTAAGGGCCTGTTTGGAGTTTTTATTTCACCGATTTTGTGCGGTAGCGTTTATGAGATTTTGAAAAAATGGATGCATGCTAGTTCTTTTAGGCACTAATTTTCAACGATTTAAAATCACTCAGAATCTGCATCGTGTAATTTTTTATCGTTTCTCCAATCCCACCAAATTGGTGGGTTTTGACAGTTTCTTTGATTCTCTTCTAATTTAAATTTTTATAAAATAATTATTTCTTACAAAAATATTTTTTTCAAAATTAACTTATAAATAAAATTCATTAACTAAAAAGTATACTTATAAGCAAAAAAATACTTTATAATTAAAAATTTACTTATTAGTAAAAAATTATTTGTTAGATAAAATTCATTTTTGTATGAAAATTTCTTTATAAACTAAAAATACTATAAATGAAACAAAATTCACTTATAAGATATAAAAAAAATTACTTATAAGTAAAAAAAAATCGATGTTCAATATTAAATTTTATGTAAAAAAGAATTACTTAAAAGAAAATGTTACTTATGAGTTAAAAAATCTCATACAAGTTTCACTAAAGAGTATACACGTAATTTTACTCTATTAAAAAAAATTGGAATCGGTGGATAAACTCAGTATAGGTTTGGACTATTTTAAAAAATATTACTAAAAATCACCCAAATCAAATTCGCTCATAAACTCTTAAAATCGATACTTTAAACAATGCTCATAACTAGTACCAAAAACTTCCAAGGAGGCCCTAAGTCGGTCCAAGCTCGAAAAGTCATAGGATTAATTTAATTAATGGCTACTGAACACTTGGCTTTAAATTTTTTCGAAAAAAAAAAAAGATCACTACAGATTATCAAAATTGGGATGCCTACATTGCACCTTGACTAAGACACCGTTTGGTACCCATTTTCTCCCAAAAATGTATTAAAC